CAAATCCTTCCCTATTACCAATTTACCTTTTCTTCTGAGTTCACCCCTCTGCCAAAGATAATGTTGATGCCTAGCAACATTCGATTCCAGCTCTTGAATCAATTTGACAATTGCAGGATCAGTAGACCAACACTTTATAATCCTAGCCAATAATTCTGAAGTCGGTTGCATTGTCACTATAGCATTACAAGAGATCTCTTTCCTCCTAGAAAGAGGGTCAGCAACAACATTTTCCTTTCCTCGCCGATATTTTATGTCAAAATCAAACTCCATCAACTTGACTACCCATTTCTGCTGAAAAGAAGTAGTCCATCTCTTCTGATCTAGTATGAACTTCAAGCTCCTATGATTAGTTCGTATAGTGAACTTCTTGGGCAGTAAGTAATGTCTCCATTTCTGGATAGAAAACACCACAAAAAGGAGTAAGCCTATTGGTGGTTTGTGTTAGCAAAGGTTCAGAAATTTTATCAGGTTCGGTTGTCGGAAAGGTTTTGGAAAAGGTTGTTTTGGCAGGTTTTGGGAAGGTCTTGGTAACAGTAGAATTGGTATTGGCAGATTCATACATTTTGGCTAAGGAGAAGGTTTTAGGTTGGAATATTCTCACCATCATTTGTACATCATGTCTCAACCCTCTCAAGAAACTGCTTAATTGATTGACCTTCAAGAGTTCCACTTGAGCAGCTAGTTAATCAAAAGTTTCATGGTAGTCCTGAACACAACCTTTTTGTCTTAAGGTCATCAACTCAGTCATAGGATCCTCACATACCTCACCAAAATAAGCAATCAGTGGTGTACTCACTCCAAGATAGAAGATTTGATAAACCAACATTTTTGACATACGCACTGTGCCATTGCAGGGCCTTGTCCTCAAAATGAACCACTGTCAATCTTACTTTGCAATCCTCTAGTCTATCATCAACAGAAAAGAAGGTCTCGCATTGAATTAACCATTGTTTCACACCATCTCCATTAAATCGAGGAAAGTCAATTCTAGCCAAACACGTGCTACAAGAATAGGGTCGAGAATGATTACCCGGATTGGACGTAGCATTGCGTTCTTGGTTGCACAACATCTCTTCAAGATTGATTCTTAGTGAAACTCCAATTTCCATGAAACGTGTTTCCAAAGAAGTTCCAAGATCCGAAAAACACAAAGCCTTTAAGCTCTCAAAATCTTCACGAACAGCGCAAGTGTTATTAGCCATGGAAAACGTGATTAGAAGGTTACCTTTTGACACCATAGAATTTCTAGGAAGAGAAAGAACTTTGAAGAACTCGAGTGCTAGGGACATCAATGAGACACAATGACATCCGAATTTTCATTGATATTGGAATGAAGATACAGAGAAGAATTCTTAGGGAATTTGATACAATGGTCATGAATGAATATGAATCTCAGTTAATTCCTATATGTGGGAAATCAAATAGTATTTTAAGAAAGAATAAATCAGGAAATTTGTATATTTCCTTGTAATCTGTACAGATTTGAATAATTAGGAACAATCCCATAAATCAAGGGATCCTAGCATAAAATAGAGTTATTATATTTCCTAAAATAGCTTAGGTCTCCTGTATATATCTTATATCATCTCTTTGTATTGAAATAATAAAAAAATCATACTTCAGTTAATCTATTTTTCCAGATGGTATCAGAGCTTCCGATCTAGGAAGCTATGTCTGCGTGCGATAAACCCTAAGACGGCAGCAGCCTGCATTGCTGCTGCATTTTTCTTAACCCTAAGACGGCAACCTACATTGCTGCCGCATATTTCTTAACCCTAAGACAACGACCTGCATTGCTCGCCGCATATTTCTTAACCCTAAGACGATGCACTGCATTGTTGCCGCATATTTCTTAACCCTAAGATGGCAGCCTGCATTGCCGCTGCATTTTTCTTAACCCTAAGACGGCAGCCTACATTGTCGCCGCATTTTTCTTAACCCTAAGACGGTAGCCTACATTGCTCGCTGCATTTTTCGTAATCTTAAGACGGCAGCCTACATTGTCGCTGCATATTTCTTAACCCTAAGACGACGACTGCATTGCTCGCTGCATTTTTCTTAACCCTAAGATGGCGACTCGCATTGCCGCCGCATTTTTCTTAATCCTAAGACGACGACTCGCATTGTCGTTGCATCACACCTCCTTGCTATGATGTCAAGGGAAGAGGAAGTTGCGAATCCAAACCCGAAACAGTGGAATACCCAATCCCAAGCAATCTGGAGAACTGCAGAATATTCATTCAAGCATATAGACTAAATGGAAGAAATTATTTGAAGTGGGCCCAACTTGTTCGTACGGTGTTGAAGGGAAAGGGGAAGTTGAGTCACCCGATGGAGTCCGGACCTAAACAGGAGGATCCCAAGTTTACTACATGGGATGAAGAAGATTCAATGATCATGGCGTGGCTCGTGGAATTCAATGATTCCAGAAATCGGCGACACCTGCATGTTCCTTAATTCGGCAAAAGATATTTGGGATGCTGTAGAGCAAACCTACTCTAAAGCCAAAGATGCTGCTCAAATATATGAAGTAAAGGTGAAAACTTTGGCAGCAAAACAAGGGAACAAGACTGTTACAGAATATGCCAATCAGCTGAAATCATTGTGGATGGAGCTAGACCATTATAGAGTCATAAAAGCCAAATGTACTGAAGATTCAGCACTTCTCAAGGAGTATATCGAACAAGACAGAGTTTATGATTTCCTTGTTGGTTTGAATCCTGAATTTGATCAAGTTAGGATTCAAATATTGGGGAAGCAAAAGGTACCATGCCTCAATGAAGTGGTGGCTATTGTGAGAAGTGAAGAAAGTAGAAGGGGTCTCATGTTAGAGAGTCCAAGAAGAGAGAACTCAAGCACTGGACCATAAAGGAGATCAAACTTTGGCCATGGTAACCGAACAGAAGAAAGGAGGATCAGCAAATGTGGAGAAGAAAGGTGATGGTCTCTGGTGTACCTACTGCAATAAACCTCGTCATACCCGAGAGAAGTGTTGGAAGTTACATGGGAAGCCTTTAAACCGAGATCGAGAAGGGGGACACAAAGGAGGCTCCTCAAGGAAAGGAGGACAAGTTTATGTTATGTGAGTTGCTATGGCTTAAAATCATCTTAGAAGACTTGAGGATAAATTGGGAAGAACCTATGAAGCTCTATTGTGATAATAAGTCAGCAATCAGTATAGCCCACAACCCAGTGCAGCATGATAGAACAAAGCATATTGAAGAAGACAGACACTTCATCAAAGAAAAGCTTGATAGTGGCTTGATATGCACTCCATATGTGTCCTCTCAAGACCAAATTGCCGACATTCTTACCAAGGGACTGGGCTGCCATAATTTTGAGAAGATTGTATCCAAGTCGGGAATGGAAAACATCTATTCACCAACTTGAGGGGGAGTGTGGGAAATCAAATAGTATTTTAGGAAAGAATAAATCAGGAAATTTGTATATTTCCTTGTAATCTGTACAGATTTGAATAATTAGGAACAATCCCATAAATCAAGGGATCCTAGCATAAAATAGAGTTATTATATTTCCTAAAATAGCTTAGGTCTCCTGTATATATCTTATATCATCTCTTTGTATTGAAATAATAAAAAAATCATATTTCATAGATGTCGCTGTAAGGACAGCTTCCCCCCAGAAATTTTTTGGGACACTTTTTTGGAACAACAATGCCCGAGTCTGATTTAATAGATGTCCATTTGTCCTCTCTGCGACCCCATTCTGCTGTGGTGTTTTGACACAAGAGGACTCATGAATTATACCTTCTTTTTGACAAAAAGAACTAAGGACATGATTGAAGTAATCTTTGGCATTATCTGACCTAAGTCTCTTAATATTGACACCAAACTGATTTTTTATCATGGAGTGGAAGTTTAGGAAGACAGAACTGACTTCTGATTTTTGTTTAAGTAGGAAAACCCAAGTGACCCTTGTACAGTCATCTATAAAGGTGACAAACCATCGAGCACCAGACACATTAGGAATATTAGAAGGTCCCCATACATCAGTATGAACAAGATAAAAAGGGAAATTGCTAACTTTATTACTTATTGGAAAAGATACACGCTTGTGCTTAGCAAGTTCACACACCTCACAATGAAGACTCTCAACATCTAACTTGGTAAACAGAGAGGGAAACATAATTTTGATCACTCCAAAAGAGGGATGTCCCAACCGACAATGATAAAGCATGGTTTTTTCTCTATTGGTCATCAAGGATTCAGATATGAAGGAGTGAGAGATTTTGTTCTTGCTGGGCAGACTTGGATCTTCGAGATAATAAAGGCCATTCCATTCTCTAGCATGTCCAATCATCCTCCCCGACTCCTTGTCCCTTTCTATCTCCTCTTGATTAAGATGGACAACAACTTCTGGATTATTTCCTTCATTTGTTTCAGCAGCAACATAAACTTGTCCTCCTTTCCTTGAGGAGCCTCCTTTGTGTCCTCCTTCTCGATCTCGATTTAAAGGCTTCCCATGTAACTTCCAACACTTCTCTCGGGTATGACGAGGTTTATTGCAGTAGGTACACCAGAGACCATCACCTTTCTTCTCCACATTTGCTGATCCTCCTTTCTTCTGTTCGGTTACCATGGCCAAAGTCTGATCTCCTTTATGGTCCACTGCTGAAGTCTCTACTGCGGGACTCTCTAACATGAGACCCCTTCTACTTTCTTCACTTCTCACAATAGCCACCACTTCATTGAGGCATGGTACCTTTTGCTTCCCCAATATTTGAATTCTAACTTGATCAAATTCAGGATTCAAACCAACAAGAAAATCATAAACTCTGTCTTGTTCGATATACTCCTTGAGAAGTGCTGAATCTTCAGTACATTTGGCTTTTATGACTCTATAATGGTCTAGCTCCATCCACAATGATTTCAGCTGATTGGCATATTCTGTAACAGTCTTGTTCCCTTGTTTTGCTGCCAAAGTTTTCACTTTTAACACTGATTTCCGCAACCACGCTTCTGCTTGAAACCCTAGAAATGAGTGCCGCAGGTGGCGCATTTGGTGGCAATAGGGGGCTCCGTCCAGTGCCTCCCGAGAAGGGAATATTCCCATTGGACCATATGCATCTGTGTGACCTAGAGAAAGTGGAATATCTCAACTGTTTGAAGACTGCCAGACACGAGTCTGAAAAATGCAGGCAATTCTCAAAAAAATACCTGCAGTGTCGCATGGAGAAGAACTTGATGGCAAAACAAGACTTGGCTGAACTTGGTTTTAAGGAAAGTAATGTAGAAACTCCTGGAGGGAAAATTACTGACAGGGTTTGATAATCAAGACCAAAGAACCCGAATAATTAAGAATGTATATTGATTTTGAGGTTGAGTTTTGGTAATGTCATTTTTGCCGTTGTATTTCAATTCATTTGACAAGTAATGTCTAACCATGCTCCGGGAACAAAAAATGTCAGTGAACAGAGGATGATGGACAGTTTGTCCATTCCCTGCGAGACGCGTGGTTACAATTATATGAACTTTGATTTTGTTCCTTCAATTCAATGGAAAAATTGGTGAACTAAAAAAAAAAAAAAAAAATGTTAAGGTTCCAACATAAAACCAATTGGCTATATGTGGAGTAGCCTAACATGTATTTAAACCATACCAAATGATATGAGGTAGGCGATGTGGGACTTTCAACACACCCCCTCCAACGAAGCCTGCCGGACCAGGCAAAGGGTACTTTTAACCCAACTAAAGGGCAACTTTTGGCCCATGACAATAACCGGAAAGATGTTAGGCTTTGGCTCTGATACCATGTTAAGGTTCCAACATAAAACCAATTGGCTATATGTGGAGTAGCCTAACATGTATTTAAACCATACCAAATGATATGAGGTAGGCGATGTGGGACTTTCAACACTATATAAAGAAGATATTTGTAAATTCCTTCATCAACTTCCTAAAAAACAGAAAGTTAGCTAACTACTAGCAGTTTTGCCAACTCCGCAACTAACTAATGCTAATTACAATTGGCTAACTAATTTTCCTGTATCAAGAGTGTTGGATGCAATTATAAGCAACGATTATACATAAAGAGGAATTCCATACCAAGGTCTTTATGTTGACTCCAATTGTATGAAGAGCCGATAAAATATTGATTCTCGATATAAATGTAATGTTGTGCAGCACGGATGGCCTTAATATATGCTGTATGTATGCTCATGTCAATCAGCACATTCTTTCCGCATACTAGGTTCTGTGAAAATACGAAAGTTTGATGTGTATACCAAGTCTAGAAAAGGAAAAATAGAAACACAAGGCTTTTTTATTCACCTTGCTTGTTGCATTTTTTGGATCCTTTGGAAACCCCTTGACAGAATTTGAATCAATTGAACGAAATATCTACATTCCAAAGTAAACAGAATCCATAATTTCATTTTAGAGAAAACTAGAAAGAAATAGCTTAGCATTATTAAATGACTAAAATACCTGAACATGCCAAACTTCAGGATCATCTTCACCAATATTTGGAGCATCATTGATGCCAATAAAATCTGGAATTCTTTCCAACCTTAGCAAAGCATCATCGTATGAAATTTTCAACTTTTTAATCCCGTGAGGTTTTGAAGCTTTCAACCAGCGCTCCTCAAAGTTAGTTAAAACATCATAAGCTGCTGGACCATCAATTTTAGAATGCAAATCATGCCATGGCTCCCGCGGACAACCACCAACATGACCCTGTCATGAAATTAACTCTTATTATAGGAATTAATTGGTCAGCATATTTCAAATAAAATATTTAGAAATTGCAACTAATCGATTTCTACCTACAAATTCTACCATGATATAAATATACTTCTGTACATTTCCTTCATAGATGTGGCTTATATAGATAAATTTCAGTTTTGCAATTAGGGTACGTGAATATAAATAATAATATTTCAATGTGAGCTGCACTATACACAACATATAGTGATGAAAAATTGATCTTTCTTATTAAAGAATGGAAAATATTTTTTTAGAGTGCTTTGTTCAACCCTTGCATATCATATCAAGAAATAATAAAATAATGTATTTAGCCTTGATTAGTCTACAATGGAGTCTGAAATAGTGAATACCGTGAAAGTAGGGTTGTGGTAGTCATCCTTATGTGTTGTACTCAATGTTCTAAAAAGAGGGTGGTGGGGAACATCATATCGCCCATCACACAAATCAAGTCCACCAACAAATGCTACAATTTTTCTTCTATTAGTTCCAGCATCAGCATCCACAATAACAGTTTTCTGATGATGTGTATATATCGTTCCAACTTCCTGATAAGAAGAAGCCACAAAGTAAATGTTGAACTTAGAAACCAAAATTGTAGACGTGATAACATACCCAGAGATCCAACACAAAAAAAAAAACAGATATAACAGGTTCAAAATTGAATCTTGTCCAAAAGTCTGATCCATGAAATTTATAGTTTCCATTTCTCCCTGGACATGATGAGGTTGCAAATATTTTGTGTGCTGACTAATTGGTAGATAGCATAACGCATGAGTGATTGAGTTATTCATTGATTATCAATCTTACTACATGAGTTGTAGTCAGTATGTCAATGCATCTAACTGATTTATCATCAACAAGTATGCAGAATAGTACACTTGCAGATTTGGTCTATAGTGTTTTTATGGCATTAAACACTTAAATCCAGTGCAGTCATCACATTCAAAATTATGCTACTATATAATTAGGTACGCTATAAATTTTGAACACACCATCAGCAGTAAATCATAATACATTTGTTTAAATCCCAAAAAATGCAAGGCTTAAAAGAATGACATCAAAGAGAAACGATACTCCAGCTTTATTTGTAGACGGTTGAGCATAAACTAATAAAAAAATATTTCAATAACTAGTTCTCAGACCTTTTGCTTGATCCAGCTATGTCGTTTACCACTGCGAGGACAAAGAAGCACTTGTACCGAAGAGTGCTTGAAAAATCGTCGAGTTTCCTCATCATGAGTTGCCATGACACCATCCTGAACATAACATCCAAGATTGTCACAAAACTAAACCCAAAAGAGAAAATATATAAACATTATATCGTATTGATAAAATAAAATAAGAATTCACTCAGAAATCTTAATCTTACCTGGAATAAAGTAAACATCAGGTGTCGCACATGAAAAAGTATTAATGAAGAGGATAAGAGAATGGATTGCTGGGTCACTTGTTTTACTTATATTACCAACTAATCTAGCCAAGAGAATTACCCAGTCAACTATCAAGTTAGTCTGGCTCTCAAGACAGATTTTAGACACAGGATCCTAGTTACAGTATAAGACAACCCAAGGTATAAAATGTCCCAAGTCCAAATGTATACAAGTTTTACAGATATTAAACTCTGATTTATTTGTCATCTGCAAATGGAAGGTTAGAACCAAATTTATTAATAGTTACGAAACTAGTAACCAAGAAAATGTGTTAAGGAATCAATATCCCCCCTTTGATATTATTCACTTGCCCAACAACAAGTAGTATATCACTGTCTCTTGAAGAACATTTCATTGCCAAAATCTAATTCTTTTTATTTGTCCAATTCAAAAATAGTTAGAAGTTGCAAAATCCAGAAAGAGATATAAAAGGTGTATCAGTGATAACAACATAAAGTAAGGATGCGCATGTGCAGACAGTTGCTAATCAAATCCTACCAGCCAGTCTAAAGCATGGCAATGCAGAGATATGTAACAGAAAAAAGTTGCTTTACTTACTGTTTTATAACCTAAAATGCTTCTTGATGTAGGATCATCCCAGACAAGCAGAAGCACTCTTACTCCTTCCTGTGACTTTGACCTTAGAAGATCACCCAAGGTATAATCTGCAGAATAACCAGCAGCATCCCTAACCAACCTTACTTTGTGCCACACTGACCACCCTGTGATATAAATCAAACGCCGAGCTTGACTTATGGCAACAAAAATATCTTGCCAACACTTTCCATTCACATAGTACATCCCACTGTCGAGCAACACATTAGGGAGGGTTCCATCTGGAACATGAGCGTCTTGATACAGTGTAACGGTTCCACCTTTCCTCAAAGGAAAATATGTTCCAGGAACCCCGATATACTCAGGCCCTGCTCCAACTCCTTGGTGATAAATGCTCAGCTTCTCCATAGGTATGTACTGAATGGATAGGCTCAGGACAGCACATTGCTTACATGGCTTCCCATTACTATTCAGGATTGGAAAGCTTCCTTCAACTATTTCTCCTGAGTATATTTGCTCCACTGGAATTGCCACAATGCCAATGAGTTGTGAACCCACAATATCACTGTCTTTAACAAGAAAGTGCACTTCAGCAGCATGATGTGCAACAGGAACATAGAAATGTTGCAACCAAACAGGATTTTCAGAGTTGCTAATGACATAAGTCCTTCCAATTACAGCATTGGATATTGAAATCGATACATAGGGATCACTAGTAATCTTCTTATTCATGGTTCCTTCAATTTTATTGCTCACACTACCAGGTAACTTACCGAACATATCCCCTAAAGTTTTGTGAAACATGTCCATATTTGGAAGATTCTTGGCTTCATTGACCCATATATCTAAATTTCCATGGAGGAGCAAAACTTTCAAGGACCCTTTATTCTGGAGTGGAACAATCTGCAAACTCTGACGATGCAGTGATTCATTAAACGAGCCAGACATAGAAAGCTTAGAAGAATCCACCCGATCGGGGTAAGAAGAACCCCACCCGGAGAAGGAGTGATTCAAAAATCCATAAAAGTCTTCTTTCTTCTGTTGCAACTTAGAAACTGAAACGGAATGCATTAATGGTTGCCTTGCAGGCGCAGGAGCAGTTGGCTTCTCATCAGACAACCGAACATTGCTCAAAAGATCATCCAAAGGTGGATAAGCAGAACCCTGAGAAGGCTTGGAATCATCACTAGTTTGTGACACTTTACCTCCTGTAGCAATGCTTGTGTTCTCCGGCCAATAGGGACCAGAGAAGCTATTGGTGCGGGAATGCATATCAGGAGCCGAATAGGACTCCTTTGGTGGATAATAGTGAGGAGGTGATCCATGTCCGAAACTGCCATGGTGTGAAAGGGAAGGCCTGGGAGAATCATGGTTTGGTGGAGGAACGTGGTAGGGATAAGGATAAGTGGGAGGAAGAGCATAAGATGGCGGAGGTGGGTGGGGAAAGTCCATAGTGTGAGGAGGAGCATAAGAATACTCAAAATGGCCAGAATGTGAGGAAGGTCTAGGAGGAGGTAGAGGATGAGAATAGTTGAAGGAATGTGAAGAAAGGTAAGGATACGGAGAATAAGGAACATGTGCATATGGATCAGGAGCTGAACCTGGAGGAGGAGGGTATGGTTGTTGAGGGTTGGGAGGGTACACATATGGGTTTGGATACCGGTATGGAGAAGATGATCCATAGTTATCCATCACACAAAAATTCTCACCCTTGTGAGATAATATTATAGCTAAAATCACAATTTGATTTTCAACACAAAAGGGTAACGTAAGAAGACATCAAATTGGAGTCAATTAAACAAGAATCATGTCAATTGAATTTGAATCGATACAACAAATATATATTTTAAGAAACGAGAAAAAGTGAATTACTGTGATCAAAGGATGAGATTGTAGCTAACGAAAATCTTGGTGGGTATTGGATCAAATGAATAAACCCAGTCGAAAGAGGAGATCTTTTACCCGTGTCGAAGACGAAGAAGAAGAACACGTTCAGGGAATGAATGTCCACGTGGAACACTAGCATGGCTCGTTATTCGATATACCTACCTTCTCTTACATTTTTTTCAGTTTTCCTAGATCGGTAGTTGTGACATTCGACATGTCGTTGTCCACATGGACAAATGTGATTGGACAATAAACTTTTAATCTTCTCCATCGATGACCCCAAACAGCAACCAAACTTCTGGAACTTAGTAAAATAATAACTATAACTATCGGTTCAAGATATCTCATGTTTTCTTTCATTTTAATATTCATGAACCCAATATACAAGCATTGGGTTGGACTATGGGAGATTTTGGTCCCGATAAAGTATTGACTACACAACGATGTTATCAATAAAACAAGTAGATTGGATTCTTGCAAGAAGAAGCAATGATTCTCAATTTTAGACCAATTCTTTGATTTTACTTTAATTTTAACAAAAGTAACTTTGTGTTTGGAATATTTTTGTTAGATTCTAGAATTTGTAGATTTGTCAATACAATTATCATAAAATATCACATGCATGTGTTCAACTGGTGTTTTACTTTAATACATTTATTATTATTATTATTATTATTATTATTATTATTATTATTATTATTATTATTATTATTATTATTATTAATTTAATTTTAATTTATTAATAAATTACTACTTTTATTTATTTATATATAAGTAAGATTTCTTTAAGGTCCGGAGCACTAATTTATAACATAAGGGTATAATTTTAAATATAACTCAGCAAAGTTTTTGTTAATTTTTTAGAGGATTAATTAACTATATACATTTTAATTACCAGTCGTTTAGTTGTGATTAAAAATATCAAATTATCCATGGTTGACTATTTAATGGAAGTCCATTCTTTTGTGGATCCGCATAATTTCTATATGCATCTTCGTAGCCAGCATCTAAAATACCCTTCTCTTAATTTTATATTTTAACCTACCTTCTTCTTCTTTTATTTATGTACAACTCATGTAACTTCATCATTTAGCTATTTGATTTTTTTTTTTTTATATTATCACCTTTAATTCTAACTATTAAAAAATAAGTAATTATTAATACTATGTATGAATTACATGTTTTTACACTCAAATTACATAAACAAACTCAAATTATTCAATTTAAAATAATATCACAAAATGAGATTGAATTCTAGAAATACATTCCGGATTGAGTGTTCTGTAATATGTTTTCGGAAAGGTAAATCCAAAAATACATTCCGAATTAGGTGTTTCAAAATATGTTTCCTGAAAAACTAATCAAGAAATACATCTTGAAATACCAAATCCATAATATATTTTTGGATTGTCCTTTTTTAAAATATATTTCGAATTAGGTATTTTGGAATACGTTTTCAAAAAAAAGGTCTATCTGAAAACACATTTCAATGAAAAAACCTTTCCAGGAACTCATTTTAAGGATAAAGATAAAGATAAATGTAAAAATAAAATGAGTTTAATATAATTATGGGGGTGTAAGGAGAAAATATAGGGGTGTTCGAAGTAACAGCCTCAATGAAATAATATCTTTAAGATTCATTAATCCTGAATGTAAAATGAAATCATATAAAACTTTCGAAACATATATTTTGAAACAATGAGACACTCATTCTAGAAGACATATACTAGAAAAGTTTTATACGGTTCCAGAACACGTTTACATACTAATCCACGAAACATCTTCCAAAATTTGTATAGGTGAGTGAGAGACAGTTTCAGACTCTTTCAGCCAGAACAGTTTCATATCTAAATGTATTCGTTAAAACTATATAATAAAAATAGTTATCTATAAATGAGAACAATACTTAATATATTGTTAAGGCTAAAAAGGGAATACAAAGCCTATAATAAAATTTAGGATTACATGATAATAAAATAAAAGTACATAAATGGATTATAGTAAAACAATATAAAAAATAATTAGCAAGAAGATATTTAAACAACTTATTATACATATGATAGAACTTCCAACAATAATGCAGTGAGTCTTTAATCAACTCTGTTTATTCGGCTAAATGCTACCCTTCACAAAGATTTTCACTACTGCCAGGTCACTGCTATAGGACTTCTAACTTTGTATCTGTCAGATACCCAAACTAGTGACCCAAATGATGAGGTACCAGCAACTTTTGCTCCTCCAATTGTCAAAAATGTCACATTGTAGCTCAATTTCTGACTCAGTTTTTCAAACTTCAATTTCATTGGTTCAACAGTAACTGAAACTCCATTCGGTTGTTCCACTTTAACTGCATAAGAACTTTGGGATTTTCCAACATTTGTGACAACCCTCCTGTATGTCACACTAGCATTAAAGGCACTTCTGCCAAATAGAACAGCAAATGAAGGGTAGTTCAAATCACCAGCTTGAAGAGCTGCTTTTTTAGAACATACAAATTTACTTCTTGATAGTAAAGCAATCTGGGAAGAAGTAAAGTTTATGCTACAAAAATAATTGAAGTAGTCTTTGGTGCTGATGTCATATACTAACCCTGGATCAGAAGCACTTATAGGATTAACATGGCCTGAACCAAATACAAAAGGGGTAGCCAAAAGTGATTTGTTGGAGGCCATGTCTGAAATTGGATCTCCTTTGTTGTTCAATGTGTAAGCGGTAGTCATCAGAGCAGATTTAATGGCTGCTGGAGACCAACCTTTGTGCAAAGACTTGAGCAGTGCTGCTATGCCACTAACATGAGGACAAGACATTGAAGTACCTGAAAGTATGTTAAATAATACCTTTCTTTTGTCACTCGTGAGAAAGCTTGGGCTAATTTTGGATGGCCAAGCGGCCAAGATGTTCACACCAGGTGCAGTCACATCAGGCTTAATCACATCTAGTCCCACTAAACTTGGTCCTCTAGAAGAAAATGCTGCCATCACTGGTGCAGGGTCCCCAAACCTTGTCCCCATGAAGGAAATTGAAGCTGTTGGTTTCTTAAGAGATTGACTGTAGCTTCTAACAATATTACTTGCTGAAGCCCCCAAGGATGTGGCCGACAAAATATGAGGGTCAGCAAAAAGCTCTTCTCCTTGATATTCATTGTTGAGTAGTATCATTCCTGCCCCACCTGCCACTTTCACTTCCTCTCCTTTCTCAGTTCTACCATTTATTCCTCTTTCACAAGCAACTATTTTCCCATGCACAAGCTTTGGATCAAGGGAGCCTCCAATGCAATACTGTGCTTCCTTTGTTGTACCAGCTGATTTTCCATATACAAGGGGCAATTGGTTTGTCTTCTTACCTTGATATAAAGATGACCCTTTGAAAATTTGCCCATTCCCAAGCTTTACTTTTGTTGGAAAGGTTCGGTCGGTGGAGCTAGCAGCAACTGTCATGATCCATGGGGCACCATTTCCAACTGTTGATGGAAAGGGGCCTGAATTTCCTGCGGAGCAAGCAACCAAAACTCCTTTCTTGGTTGCCCCAAATGAAGCTATGGCAATACTATCACTATAAAAAGGTTTGGGAATAGTCCCTAAAGAGAGTGACAACACATCAACCCCATCAGAAACTGCTTGGTCCATAGCCGCTAATACATCAGAATTAGTACAACCAGAAGACCAGCATACTTTATAAGCTGCAATTCTAGAAGTATACCTCATTCCGGTTGCTGTACCTCTAGCCTGGCCAAAAAGGTTGGCATTTTTCACCACATTACCAGCTGCAGTTGAGGCAGTGTGCGTTCCATGCCCTTGGGAATCTCTTGGAGAAAGGTAATCCACTGTTTCATTGATTCTTTTTCCAAAATATTTTTCATACCCCTTGAAATAGGCTCTTGCACCAATAAGCTTCTTGTTGCAATTTGAGGAAGAGAACTTGGTGCCTTCCTCACAAACACCTTTCCAATGAGAAGGGACTGGGGACAAGCCTGAGTCTTGGAAACTGGTGTGTTCAGGCCATATTCCTGAATCAAGAACCCCAATGATCACATCAGTGGCCAGGTTAGAAGCAGTCCACGGTGTTCTTCCACTCCTTAGGCCAAGAAAGTGCGGGGTGTATGTTGTGTGGAGGCTTGATAGCTCATCGGGAATGGCTGAGAGGAAACCCTCAACTTGGTTCAAGTATTTGAGGTGTTTCTTGGAAAGATAGGCAGCAAAACCAAACATGCTGGTTTCATAGGCATAAAGGAGTTGAGGGGCTAAAATCTCTTCTTCTCCTTCTTCTTGCGTTGAAGCTTCAGAAATGAAATCAATGATGGACTCAAACCATGGTTTTGAGCTGTCTTGGGAATCAATCGAGGCTTTGATCTTGGTCTTGTCAATGTGAACTATGTATGTCTGTTGATCCGCAAGAGCTATTGAATTTGTCACCATAAAAACCAGAAATAGGAAAAGTGTCCTAAATATCATAATGCCTGCAAAAGAAAAGAAGAAAGGGATTAACACTTCATGACTGCTATGGTCCTATAATAAATCCATAAGAATCTTCAATTCAAGAAAAAATAAATTATGAAATATTGTCACACTACTTCGAAATTTCTATGTATTAATTTTTATTACAACTTCCTTTTGTTACATTTTTCTTTCTAAGAGACATGGTTTCTAGCTCCAAACCATTAGTGAGATAGAGATCATAGACAGATTGAAGTGTCTGTTGCATAGTCTGACCTGTGCTGGGTTGTTCAAGATCACGAAAAAAGTAAATGGAATATGGAATGCTAATAAAATCGTCACATCAAACATTAAATAAGCACTAAAAATGAGTAGAAGTTTAAGTTTTCACTTAATGTATATGTTCATTGCAACTACATGAAAGAGTTCACCTTTTCTTTACTTTTCTTCTACTTCAAGTGTGCAGGCTTTGAATTAGATGACATCAATCCAAAGATATTTATAGAAATGGAGGGCCAACAAGTCTATCAGATAAAGAATTTCTCAAAAATTTGGTACATAGATATGTTAATATAAATTTAAAAAGATTCCATGTATAAACAAAATATTTTAAAAGCAAGTACGGTCAAAGAATTTTATTTCGTTTTATTATGGCCTGATATATACTTAAAATAAGTACTCGTTTGGAAAATATTTTTAGTATGCAGTTGGAGTAAGTTTACAACATGCTTTTAGGAGTACCCATGTTTTAGAAGTATCTGTTATAAAAAATATAGAAATAACTTTGTCGGTTTGTACCACATTATATCAAACACTTGCTTTCGGTTTTTCTTTTGTCACACTTTTCCCTTTTCAGAACCTTTTTTCTGTCTTATTTATGACATTTGTAAACACATAGCAAATTTCGTATGGCTTATAACAAAAGGAAAATTTAGACGTATTTTTAGTTTTAACTATATATAGAGGACATTCATTTAAAACTTTCATTTCCACCTTCACCGTTAAAGAAATTTTCTAACCACTTTGTGGAAATATGTGTTGCTTTTGATCTGATATCTGTCATTCAGAATGCCTCATGTTTAGTCTTCAATTATCTCCACAATTATTTGTTATCAATCTTGTGTAGACTTCATTCGGTTAGCATCTCTGTTTTGGATTCATTGCCTTAGTTCCTTAATGTTTCATGAGATTATGAGAAACTATATAATAACAAGAACAAAGTCTTATCTTATTAATAAGGTCAATTACACAGATCACATTTAAAACTATTAAGGGAAAAAAGTTGCACCCTCTACCATTGCCTTATCTTTTGACTTAATGTTAAGCATTAACTTATTATGATACTCATAAATGTACACCTAAAACCATAGAGCAGTATGAATATAATTAGATGGGACTGAATAAATGTTCATGAACATTCATTGTAGCAGTACAGATACCTAACAGATCAAGGGGTTTCATAAGATGACCCTGCTCATTTATTCCAATCACGTGGTAGTTTGGTTTGAGGCTAAAGATCTTAAGGTGAGACCAGTGGATTGTAAAATAATGAATTGAAGTTTTTGAATAGTGATCTCGTTTCTCATTAACATGTTCACATTTCTTTCAATGCTGGTTTCATCATTATTGTTGATGTCACGCCTAGCATTCACATTATTGCCAATGTCACGGCTAGTGTTCATGCATATACTATTGCCAATGTCACTGATACTATGCACAAGTTCATACTACTGCAATGCCACAGTTTTCATTATAACTTCATAAACATTACTCTGCCAATGTTTTCTGAGTAGTACACTTCAGCTATGAAAGACTCAGTGTTGTTAAGGGACCACCAGTTTAAGACCTCAAATGCACTCATTGATTCAGGAATTTTCTGCACTCATGGAAATTTTGAAACCATTATGCTCTTTCAATTGAGTGATCATTGTGTGAGCACACCAAGCACTCCTTTACTACCTTTTCCCTCTCCTTTATTTGAACGTGTTGGAGTTCACAATTAGGCACAATTATAACATTGTCCAGATTTATGAAACACATTAACTAAATAGTTAGTTGAATTTGAATGGTGAGACACATTAAATGTAAATAATTTTGTACTTGTAGAAGAGGGCATCGAGAAGACCTTAATTATCATGGTATGGGGTACGAGAAAAGTTAAATATGTGCAGTTGGATCCTGTGAGGAAGGACCTACATATTTCACTACTAAAATCCCTCACCACACTTCCAACTTCATCAACTGTGTAAAGGAAACATTATTGAGATTAAGTAACCAATTATTGATAATAGAAGTAGGAGTTGAAACTAGAGTGGTCAAAACTAGCCATACGACGTAGTCTAACTTAATCTTAAGATTAAGTAAAAAAAAAAATGGATGATGTAATCTGAATTATATTTTAAAATAGATTATAATTTTTATTTTAATCTTAAGTTAACATACTAATAGGTCAAATTTGGCCTCACGTTAAATTAAAAAAATTATTAAAGTGTTTATAATTTTTAAATAAAAATAAAAAATATATTTTTATTTAAAATATAATAATTTAATAAATAAATTATAAAAAAATAAATCTATTTAATTGTAAAATAAAAATTAAAAATTTATTCTTTCATATCATTATTTTTTTAAAGTAATTTATGGATATAAAAATAGTAATTAATCTTAATAATTATTAATTTTTGAAATAAGTAGTTGTTAAAAACTTACTTTAATATTTATTCTTAATAAAAAAATTATTAAATTAATTTATAATATATAATTTTTAATAAAATAATATTATTTTATTTTTAATTAAAAAATCATTATTATTTTATAAAATTAATCGGTTCATATAGAAAATTTTGACCTAAATTCATATAAATAATAACTTAAACGGATATACTAAAATAAATCTAATTCACCTTAGATTACAAATATTTTAATCTTATTCATCTATGTTTTTAGTTATTTTATGTTTCACCCCTATTAAATATTTCATGTACAGTTATGGTTAGTTTTTAAGAATAAATTGAATTCAAAAATTAATAAAATAATCCTTAAAATAAATTTATTTTAATAATCAATGAAATTATTAATATATAAAAATTTTAAAAATTACAAAAATAGTTTTGAAATTATAAATTATCAACATTTTATTTTTCACGGTTAATCGTTGTGGAAATATAATAATTAGTTTTTGTTTTTGTTTTTCCAATCATCCACTAAGAATTACTATGAAAAGATATTCTCATCGAGTAAATTAGAAGATTAATGCAAAATTAATGGGGGGAATGAAAGAAATATAAAGAAGACATTTGTGAGTGGAAATATTTATTCTCGTATTTGTTTGAAGATTATTAATATAACAGAAAAAAAAATATTTTGATACTCTAGGAAATTTCTTCTAACTGTTTAATTTTATAAATAAAGAAAATAAATATTATTGAATAATCTTACACAAACTGAGATCAATTTATCATTTTTTATTATTATTATTCTAAGAACTAATTCAACAAATAATTATAATTTAAAAAAACAAAATTGATTAATACTTTACCCTATGAACCCTAATTTCTAACATTGGTTTGTAAGAACAAGGTCCAGTTTAGGTGGCATGGTGGATGGGTATAGGGTGATAGATGGGACATAAATTAAATTGGGTGAATGATAGGTATGATGGTGATGCATGAATGAATGGTATGACCCATCAACAACTATATATGTTCTCACAATAATGCATTCACATTCAAATTAAAACTCTTGTCCCATGACATCATTATTCACACGACACAAAAACAAATTTCTGGTATCTCGCTATTCCTATGTTTTAGTTTACATCTGCATGTGCTTGTGCTGTCTTTTTCTCACTTCTTCTCTCTTCTGAGGTAAAACATTACATTTTTTTTTTATTCATTTATGAAGGACAAAATAAGTGATATGTAAGGTTCAATGTTAAGAATAAGAACCAATTTAATGCAATAAATCTGACCAATTCTTACATGAGATTATTAACATCAATATAACATCTCATCTTTATACAAAATTCATAAAAAATAAAATTAAAAATAAAATGTTAAATAAGATAAAACTAAGCAAATAGGTAGAAACTCGTCAATTTTTTGCATCATTGTAAATCGTGATTTTATTTATTACTTATTATTTAGTGCAAATTTTGTACTGGAAGGATGCATAACGTATAACAATACTTTCTTCTACACTTTTATTGGACTTTAGAAATATAAATACAATAAGAAGTACTCATATTTATATAAAATAATCTATAAGAAACTAAATAAAATATTTAATTACATTTATTATCCTCCAATGAATAAAATAATAAAAAATAGACAGTGTAGTTAGCCTCAATTGATTTTTTATTAATTATTAAAAAAAATTTGTTTGAAATGAATTATACCAAAAGAAATTTAAAACCGTTTTTTATTGTTTATTATTAATATAAATTGAAAAATAAATATTAATAATATAGTAAAAAAAATTCTTTCATTTAATTTCGATTAGTGTGCTTAAAAAATACTAAATACTAATTAATTATTAAATATTTTAAAAAAATACGAATTTTTTCTATTAATTTTACGATAATAGGAAATTATCACTAAACATTAAATTTAGATATAAAAAATAATTAAACTTGTATACTTTTAAAAGTTGGATAACTGAATTCGTTAATTAAAAATATAATAATCAGAAGATAAATTTGAAAATAAAATAAAAATTACAAAACCAACAGATTATATTTTTTTACTGGGGTATTTTAATATATATTGTGATTTTATAATTAATAATAAAATAAAAATATTTTGAAAACTCAAGTATACCTAAACAGAGTTATACAGGCCCAATTATTATTCAGATAAGCGCATCTTAAAGCCTAATGGCCCAAGATTATTACAAGACACTTACACTTCAGACACCCCAACAAACTCAGAATTACGAAACGGCCCATTACATAACATTTTTAAAGCCGTGAAGTAGGAGTGTATGTTTTTCTCTCAGATTTGTCTTCAACGGCCTGGATTACGCGACCCAAAAAGACCTTCCGATTCTGAGCGTACACGTGTCCATCCCAACCTCTCTTCACCAAACCAGTGGCTAAGTCGACCGCAGCCACAACGGTGTCATCGGCGCTGGAGTGAGCCGAGTCTATGACGCCGAGCCGAACCGCCTCCTCGGCTGTGAGCTTAGCCGCGCTCATGACGATCCGGCGCCGAGCTGCAGGCGTGGGGACCTTGGCTTCGACGAGAGTGACGAACCAGGCGGGAATTACAAGGTTGATGTCGAGCTCGCTCATGTAGAGGAATCCCCTGTCGCTGCGCATGAGGAGGTAGTCGTGAGCGAGGGCAAGGGTGTAGCCGGCGGCGGAGGCGTGGCCGGTGATGGCTGCGATGGTCGGCATGGGGAGTGTGAGGATGTCTGAGACGACGGAGCGGAGGAGGGAGTCCATGAGGATCATGCGGTCTTTGGAGGACTGGCCCCACGCGAGGTCGTAGCCGTTAGAGAAGAATTTGCCTTGCGCGGTGGTGATGAGGGCAGAGGAGGCGGTGGCTTCTTGGCGGACTCGGCGGAGGGAGGATTGGATCGAATCGAGGAGAGTCGGGTTGAGACGGTGTTCGCCGTCGCCGGTGAGGGTTAGGATGAAGATGTTGCCTCTCTTCTCCAAAGTGCACATGTTGTTTAGATTGGAATAAGAGAAAAATGGTGTTTTTTTCTCGGTTTATTCCAATTTCTCATAGCTTTGGTTTGGTTCGGGGCTAAAGATTTTAAAATGAAACCTTGCCGATTTTTTTTCTCAAGTTCAATCCTTGACTTTGAAAAATAAAATAAGAGTAGAATTGTGGAATGAAAAAATTTAATATTGAAAGGAGTATACCGTGATAAACCTTCTTTCTGTTATTTGTAGAAAATTTTGTTTGGAATCATCTCTTCAGTATTAATATTTCATTATGAAGATCATTTCAATCAACAAATGTTAAATTGGCCCTAGATTAATATTCAAGCCATTCTAAATCCTTGGTAGGTACGGCCAAGCACTCAAATTTGTGAAAATGATAAAACCGATGAAGAGAAATGTCACAGAAACAAAAGACCGTCTACAATGCTAAAATTACATGATTGGCATTGATTATATGACTGCAACATCAAAAGTGTTTTTCATTTGATACTGAACTAGATTACCAGCCCATCAATGTCCTTCTAACTTTGTCTACAATCTGACTTCTTGTTTGGCTTCTGGTCAATGGGAAGTTACGGTTTTCCTCCAACAAAAATCTATACACTTCCCATTGGCGTTCTTGTGTTGAATGTCTTACAACTTCAGCCTGCAAAACAGGGAAGAGTGTGAGAAACAGCTTTTATTCAGAAACTGTCACAATATTTCTTCAGAGAAGATCCTAAGATGTCACAATAACTAAGTTTTATAGCATAAATACTTACTGAGAAAATGCATACTCCCAAAGCTTTTAAAGCCAATGTAACATCATAGAATACACGGGGCCTTCCCTTTCCAGACAGCTCCACAGGATTAGCAACCAGAAGTTCTGTGTCTGGACCCCGGTTCACAATAATCACCCTCAAAGGATGAAGCATCTCTTCTTTTAAGCATGAACACAAGGTTTTCTGACTATCAGGATCTATGATCTTTTTCCCATCATTTTGCTGAACAAATAAGTCTATGTTTCGAAAGCCCTCCACGCTCGAAGAGAATCGACCAAAAGCAACCTGATTGGGAAATATGTAAACGAACAAAAGGTAAATTTGTAGCAATGAAAAATCCATGTATCAAAGCATTTTGTTAGGAATTGTATATGAATATTGAATCCAAGAATGGTTGAGGAGAATAAGATCAAAAGATTAAAAATGGCAATAACTAAGTCCAAACTGAGAGGCAAACATTGTCAGACTTTAACACCATGTGTCAAATCGTCTAATCTCAGCTCAGGTGGCTTCCTTTGATTCAGTTTGATTTATAATGGTTCACTAGGGAGAAGCAGAAGGCCAAGTGCATGCATAAATAACGATTCAGAACATAATACCTTCATATCAGAATCCTTAGAAATTCTCATAATGTCATAACACAGACCCTTCTGATCAACACACTGTATCTGAAGTAGGGTATGAACTGGGCTCAGTGAGTTATCCACAATAACAGTAGGTGTCTTCAGTGTTTTCATATCTTGGCTGAGAGGATGCAAAGACACCTTGTCTAACAGCTCAGAACTAAATAATTCTTCAGCAAAAGCTGGTGGAAGAGAAGAAAACCCCTGCAGATGTCCATATTCAGGCCCTGCCAATTGAAGTTCACTGGAGATACACCTCTCTCCTAAAGCGTCCATAAGATATTTACACACATAATCTTGCCTCTTTTTCGTGTGAAGCAATTCCCTGTTTTTATTATTAAAAAAATTACAAAATGTCATATAGTTATCATAAGCTACTAGCAACCTACAAAATTACAAGAACAGATAGTCATTTAGCAAGTATATATTCCATCCAAATCAAGATTTTTATCATTTAGAGTGACCTTTACAATAATTGAGGTGAAACATGAAAAAATAGAGTATATGCAGTAATTAAGAGGTCCAGACATGAATCAACGGCATCTGAAATGACATGCATAAGTTTGTGACAGTTTAATTGATCTTTCTGATTGTGAAAAAATTGAGCCTTAATCAACAGTTTCCGTATAAATAATCACGAAGGGTAGATGAAACGGAAGAAACTATAAAGCAAATTTGTCTTCTTTTTCTTTTCTGCTCATCTTGGGTCCTCTGTAAGTTTGAAGAATTTTCAATTTAGTCCCCTAAGTTCCAACTGCAGCAATGTTTGTTTGTCAAATATTGAACAACATAATTTGAAATATTAACTAAATTTCCTGGCCTTAGAGAGCTCTGGCAGGACTAGTCCATACCATATAGACAAATATAAAAAAAATTATTCCATCAAAATATTATTAGAATCTTGATACACATTCAATCCTAGGTTTCAAATACTGTGTTCTCCTCAATTCATTCAGTGATCCACTCCAGTTCTCACGCACTCCACTATCACATACCCAATGGAATTTCGAATAGAGTGATGAGATAAAAAAAATTGGCTAATTTTTACCAAACAGACACGTATTTTTACAACTCAGAAGCTAAAAAGGAACTAACGCCCAATAGGATGGGAATATTAGCCCCAATTCTGAAACAAATTTCACTGCCCTTCACGTCCGAATCTGTTAGAAATAGCCTTTTTAAGATGAATACTTTTCAAGCTTTATAAACTCTATTTAAGTCATAGTTGATGTGGAATTAAACTACCACCCTTGATGTTGCAATTAAAGCAATCCCTCAAGATACCGCAACTAAGGAGGGTTAGGAATTTACATAAAGTGACTTTACACTAGAATCAAAGTCCAATATCCTAGGTAAACTTTTAATTGACTTCCCACTTTCACAGACAGATTACAGAAAATTCTAAATAAATCCAATGGTGTAAAGAAGAACACCCAACAGATGCAGAATACAAACAAGAATCTCATACTCACATCCCATCCGTGATAAAGAACATGTCCAACACCCTGCCATCTGGGGTTGGCATCGCTTTGACTCCCTGAATAATAAGTTCAAGGTTGCACAGAATTTCATTAATATCTAAAAGGACATAGAAAAAAAAGAGTTAAAACTGTACACCCTGTGTGGTAACCAACCAAAAGAGAAACACAGAAACTGTTTACCATGTAGCAACCCTTTCTGATCAACACACCAAACCTTCAACAGATAAATTGGAGGCGGTGAAGGACTCGTGGACAGTTGATTGAAGTGATAGGAAAACAAACATGAAGGGCAAACTGAAAGGAGGCGAGTCTTCAAACTCTCCCAATCAATTTTGACAGATGCAGGATGTGGAAGAACCCAATACACGATGTAGCACCACCTTCCATCCGTAGAAATATCTGCTCCACAACAACAAATCATGCCTCCAAAACAAAGAAAAAAAACAACAACATCAATTTATGCAAATTGTAGTTATTGTTAGTTGAAGAATCCTTTATAGAACCATATTCCAATAAATCTCGTAACTGGGAACTACTAGTTAAACTGTACGGTGAATAAACTCAACATTAGACTGTATAAATGGTTGATAACTTTTTATAAAAGGTACAATAGCTTCTTTTCTTTTTCTTCTTTTAACAAACACTCTGCAGGAGGATAAAACTCATTTCTCAAAAATTAAAAACAGATTACATTTGAAATAAATTTAGATTAGTTTATCTGTTTTCATATCAAATGGTTGTTATTTGAAGAAAACTATAGTGAAAAAAACAGAGCTTCTCAGAGAAAATTCACTAGTAAAAGATTAAGATTTGAGATTCGTTAGAGAAACAAGAAATCCAGATGAGAAAAGTGACACACCGGCGCGGGTAATACGGAGACCGAACTCGAGGATAATTCTGCAGAGATCACAACCAAGACCAGCTTTGTCAGGACAATTAACTGTAATTATGCAGGGTTCGGTGGGGTTCTTCCCTTGCTGGATCACAACCCCATCGTCCCATGGTATCCCCATGACTGCGAAGTGGTAGGTTTAGGGGACTATGAACACCAGAAAAAACATTGTCGGAGCTTGAAATGGTGGCACTGGACAACTGCAATGGTGGCTTGTGAACAAAACTGAACTGTGAATGAAATTTGTGGAGGACTGAACTGCACAGTAAGACAAACGTAAATTTGTGGAGGACTGAACTGTGAATGAAATATATGTGTTTGTGAGGATGTAGTGAATCCTTCTTTTTGCAATTTTGAGAATTATTTCAAAAATTTAAAAGGATAAATGATAAATCCTTAATCGAATCATCTCTAAATGTTTTTATTTATTTCCTTAAAAGTTTTATATAAAGAAATTATATTTTACATTAATTAAAAATTAATTAATTAAAATTCCAACATAAAATGTACTTTTCACTAATTAAAAAGTTAATTAATTTCATTTACTTTCAGAAATAATATTTTTAATTGTAATCACAATTAATTAAATATATTTTTAATATTTTTGGACTGATATTATTAGTAAAGATGAAAGTATTAAAATTTTTTGTTTATTCAATTTTTTTTATAATTAAGGTTGAAAATAATATTTTAAATTAGTTAATTTTAATTATTAAATAAAAATAACTACAAAAATAAAATGATTATATATATTAATAATTACAAAATCAAACTACTCTGTTAATAGTAACATATCATGAAAATTTAGTTATTAAATGGTTAGTAAAATATTAACGATAAAATAGTCAAAGATCATGTAGAAATAGTTTTAAAAATATAATCATAAATATTCATTTATTAAATAGACAAATGATTATAAAAATAAAATAATGAATTTGGTATGTAAAGTTATAACCAAAATTATCTCCTCTATCAATAATTATAGGTACATAAAAATTAAATAAATTATACAATAATTAGTTATATTTAAAAATAGATTATGAAAAAAATTTAAAGGTGACTTATATTATCATTGATATTAATATATTTAAAAAATGAATATAATAAATTAATTATTAAAATTTATAAATTAATTAAAAAATATTTATAAGTATAGTTTATTTTATAAATTAAACTATTTTAAAATTTACTTTTTAAGATAATATCAAGATATATTATTATAAATTTTGTTAAACTTATTCAACCAATTATAAAGAAAAGATCTCGCTTACTGTACTATAGACAAATTTTTAAACGTAAAAAATTTATATATACATATATATAAATAATTTAACACGTAAAGAATATAAATAGTATATTAAAAAGACTCAACTTATTATGAAATATTAACTCAACTTACTACGTTAATTATTATTTAATATACCGATTTTATATTATTTTATCATCAAAATATGTTAAATATCTCCTAAATTTTTTATTATTATTATTATTATTATTATTAATGCTCAACATTTTCTATGTAATATATATTCAACATTTAAAGTGTGGTAGTTGTATATTGTATTTAAATGAATTTTTAATTTGTTTACTAATTAATAACATGAATTATTGTTGTAAATTATTTCAGTTTAACAAATAAAAAAGAAGCAATCATATAACTCTAGAGTTTAAATATGTGTTATTAAATTAAGTTTTTAAATACAAGTAGACTAAAATTTAATAAATAGTGTAAAAAGTTTACATTATTAACAAATTTAAAAAATAACATAGTATTTCTCATAATTATTAATATATATATATATATATATATATATATATAATGATTTATAATTATACTTAAAACCTAATATATGATAACACATCATATTTATTAACCTCAACAAAACACATTAGTTACCTTAAATGAAAATAAAGCAAAACTCATATCAATAGTCTGACATGTTTATATTTGTCATTTTCAAATACAAACATTTTTATTTAGCTATGATTTCAAAATTTTAAAATAAAATTATTTATCATTTTTTACTTATACACATAGCTGAGAAAAATTAATAGTAATACTATATTACGTGTCTAATGATATTTATAAAAAATATTTTTTTATTTATACATTATTTAATAAAGCACATAAAAAAACAAAATACTATTTAAGGTTAAAAAAATATTATTTATCATTTAAATATCACTATAATAAATTATTGTATAATAAAAGATAAAACTATAATGTATTTAATTAATTAATTTAATCTTAAAAACAGTATTATTAGTTATTTAAATAAATCAATAAGATTTTATAAATAAGATAGTATTTATATTTTTATTGGTGGAGGGTAGAGATTTGAATGGCAGCATATTCCCTAGGATTCAGTGGGAGCATACAAGAGGTGCATGCTGTGTCATATACACGTCAACTTAAATCTGATTTAAAGTTAACTGAATCTAAATGTTAAATACATTTTTTAAAATACTTAATTTATAATTTATGTCAAAATAAAAATTATTTGTTAACTTAAATATCCATTAAATATATACCTACTTTATTTAATAATGAATTATAGGAAAAATATTTTCTATAATTCAACTTTAACAAGATCAGCTTTATATATATATATATATATATATATATATATATATATATATAATGCATCCTATTTCATAAAATTTATATTTATATTTTAAGATAATAAGTGAAAAATAGTTAAAAATTATGTCCCACCATAGTTACAAAATTCAAAGAAGTGGTATTAAATTAGCAGCCACCGCTACTTTTTTTTTTTTTTCAAAAGGTGCCAAAAACATATCTACTTGTCAATAAACAAATGAGAGGTGCATACATCATCACCATGTGAATGTTACGAAGGAAAAAAAAATAGAAAAGACAATGATAGGGAAACTGATAATTAAGTATGATCTTCAATCTAACGATTAAATATAAAATAATCTCATACTGTAAACATATTATAAATTAAATGCGAAAGCGTACCTAAATTAGCTATAATAATGATGTCCATTTTAGAGCATTATTGATCTTATGGTCTTCCACCTGAAGAGCACATGTATTTCTCTATTGATTTTCTCTTGATGAGGATAGAAAGAAAAGAACGGGACTGTAACTGCGTTCTGTCTACGTGCTCCCAGAAGGGGACCATAACCCCTTAAAATAACCAAAATTAGGTTAATTACTTAAGTTTTAGTATTTCCAATTTGGCCCCTCGTCAAATTAGAAATTGTTCTATGGTCTCTACACAATTTTATTTTCATGACATATGCCTTTAGCCAAACCTTTTTAATTTAGTCAGATCACTTTATTATTTGGCTTAATAAATAATGACCCTAACACATTTAAATATGTATCATATATATACATGACCCAAATTTTGCCAACAATCTCCCACTGGTCACAAATATATATGTCCTTACAACCTCACAAATGTGTTAGACTTTATGAGTTCAAAATTGTCATTATATTTCTTTAGCATATTCCAAAAGTCTTGTCCATTAATTATATCAAGATATAGAACCAAACCAGCTTTTCATTGCATCATCGCAACTAAAACCAACAATGATTACTCATCCTGACATAACCAAATTGTTAGAAAAGTAGTTTTAGATCAAGAGGGGGGGTGAATTGATCTTTGAAAGTTTTTCGCAAATAACAGATTATCTATTTGTAAAAATAAGATTTCATATCTGTTCTTGAATCACAAAGCAAGCAATAAAAAATAAACGCAGCAACAGAATTAAAAGAGGAGAAAGGTTTAGAAAGATATCATCGGTGTTTATACTGGTTCACCCAATACCAGGGCTACGTCCAGTCTCCAGCCAAATTCCAGCTGGGTTCCACTAGATTAAATGTTTTACAGATTACAATCTTACACTTAATCTACCACAAGAACCACAATTCCAGTTCATGCACCTAAACTTTCACCAAGAACCAAATTCTAGTTCTTGACAACCTCTACAACCAAATTCCAGCTGCAGAGCAACCAATGCCCACAATTCCAGGAACCAAACAATACAAAAAGAATGTAAAGAAATGAAAAGAAGAAACTAGAATGCTCAAACCAGTTTTATGCAATTCTGCAATGTGTTTCTTCTTCAAAAGAAAGCAATTTGCCTCAAGAAAGAATTTCAAAGAACTTCACAAAAACTGGCGCGAATCTTTCTTGAAAGAGTGCTAAAGTTTGCTTGCTTGCTTGCTAAAGATTGATGTTCAATTGTTGTGTTTAAAATGTTCAAGTCAAGCTGTTTTTATAGAAGATTTTCAAAACTGCTGGTTTGATCAATCTGTTAAAAAATATTTTAATCTGTTAAAAGTGCAGTTTTAATCTGTTAAAACTTCTTTTAATCCATTAAAGCGTTCTTGATTATTTAACAGATTTATTTTAACTGATACGACAACGTTTGTATCAATTAAAACTCTTTACAAAAGATATTCTAATTTGATTTAATCGATTGTTTCGTATTTCAATCGATTAATATACTGCAAAACTTTATTGTAAGTGATTTTAACTGATAAAAATAAGTTTTAATCGATTAAAACGTTGTGTAGAAATTTTCTAAGTTGTTTTAATCGATTGAAACGTGTTTTTATCGATTGAAAAAGCTCTGATCGGTCATAACTCAATTCTGATCGATCATATCTGATTCTGATCGGTCATAATTGCATTTTGATCGATCATCCTGAATGTTAAGTGGATTTAATCGATTAAAACCAAGTTGTATCGATTAAAATACTGCAAAAACACTTCTCTTAACATTTTAAGTGATTTTAATTGGTTATTTCGAAGTTTTATCAGTTAAAACATTGATAGAAGGTTTTCAAAACTTTCTTTAATGAAAACAACTGATTATTTCGAAATTATATCAGTTAAAAACTTGTTTAAAAAAGCTCTTGTTAAAATACTTTGTTTTTAACTGCTTAAACGCTTTTAGAGGCATTTTGCTAAATCTTTTAAGTGAAGAAACCTCATGCAGCAGAAAAGATAAAAGTGATTATACCTAAGCATAGCAGCGGACACACTAATCCCTCTATTCTTTTATCTAAGTGACTGTTGACCGCTACAAAGATGATTTTGACTTTATCTTTGACTTCATCAAATCAACAGGATCTTTGTCAGAGTATTTCAATAAGATCTTCATCACTTTCACAAATGACATGGATTCATCATGAAATGTGTAGCATGAAAAATTACGTGAAGGTGATCTGTACACGTCTATTTTCAACTGGTCCAAACTTTAACTTATCGAGATCGATATAATAACATTAATGTACAAAGTGTAATGAATGAACAAGAAAATCGCATATCTATAGATAACCAAATATGTCCAAAAAAAATGTATACATATATAAAATTAAACATAGAACATAAAATATATGAAAATGACTAACTCCCACTAAACCACAAATTCCTCAAACTGTAAAACACCCATGTGAGCAACATGCTCATGAAAGACCTTGGGCAGAAGTCCTTTAGTTAGAGGATCTGCTATCATGGAGTTTGTCCCTAAATGTTCTATGAAAATTTGTTCACTCTGTACTCTTTCCTTAACAACTAGGAACTTAATGTCGATGTGTTTTGACTTAGTCGAACTTTTGTTGTTGTTGGAATACAATACAGCTGATTTGTTGTCACAATATAACTTAAGTGGTCTTTCAATGCCTTTCATAATTTGCAGCCCTGTGACAAAATTTCTCAGCCATATTCCATGATTCGACGCCTCATAGCATGCTACAAATTCTGCTGCCATAGTGGATGAAACTGTAAGGGTTTGCTTGACACTGCGCCAAGAAACCGCACCACCTGCTAACATGAAAATGTAACCTGAAGTGGATTTCAAACTATCTTGACATCCTACAAAGTCCGAGTCAGAAAACCCAGCGATCTCCAACTGGTCTGACCTCCTGTATGTGAGCATGTAATCTTTTGTTCTCTTTAAATATCTCATGACCCTTTTTGCTGCTTTCCAATGGTCCATTCCTGGATTGCTTAAATATCTGCCTAGAACCCCAACTATGTATGCTATGTCTGGACGCGTACATACTTGGGCATACATCAAACTCCCTACAGCTGATGCATAGGGAATCTTTTGCATTTCCTCAATTTCCAAATTTCCCTTTGGGCACTGATTGAGACTAAACTTGTCTCCCTTAGCAACTGGAGTATCCCCGAATTTACATTCATGCATGTCAAACCTTTTAAGAATTGTTTTGATATAGCTCCTTTGTGATAATCCCAAAATACCCCGACATCGATCTCGGTGTATCTGAATTCCTAATACAAAAGACGCATCACCAAGATCTTTCATTTCGAAATTCTTTGATAAAAAAATTTTGGTTTCGTGCAATATGCCTATATCATTAGTGGCAAGTAGAATGTCATCAACATACAAAATCAGAAAAATATACTTACTCCCCTTAAACTTGTGATATACACAATCATCAACAATATTCATCTCGAAGCCAAATGAGAGAATTATTTGATAAAATTTATAGTACCATTGACGAGATTCTTGTTTTAGTCCATAAATGGATTTTGTCAGTTTGCAAACCATACTCTTTGAATCTCCCTGCACAAAATTTTCTGGTTGCACCATATAAATCGTCTCATCAATGTTGCCATTAAGAAACGCCGTCTTGACATCCATTTGATGAAGCTCCAAATCATAATGTGCTACAAGAGTCATGATTGTCCTAAAAGAGTCTTTCGATGAAATTGGAGAGAAAGTCTCTTTAAAATCAATCCCTTCCTTTTGGGTATAGCCCTTAGCTACCAGATGAGCCTTATACCTTTCCACATTACCTTTAGAATCTCGTTTGGTCTTAAATATCCACTTGCAACCAATGGGTCTCATACCTTCTGGTAATGGGACATGTTCCTAAACCTTGTTGTCTTGCATGGACTTATACTCCTCCTTCATTGCTTCAGTCCACTTTTCAGAGTTAGAACCTTGCATGGCTTGACGGAAGTTAACTGGGTCATCTTCCATCATACCATTGTTTTCCTCATGTTCCTGAAGAAATACAATGTAATCATCCGAAATAGCACTTCTTCTTTCTCTAGTGGATCTCCGCAAAGTTATTGGCTCATGATGCACAGGTTCTTGAGGATCTTGAGTTTGTTCTTCATGAACAACCAAATCATCTTGAGTAAGGGGTTCATTAATAATGTCTTGTGGAGGTTCTGAACTTACTTTATCAAAAGTAACTGTTTGAATCGGTTCTGGAATTGTTACCGATTATTCCTCCAAGACAAAGTTCCTGATTTTATTCTTCCCCCCAAACTCAATATCCTCAAAGAACGTAGCAGTTCCCGTCTCAAAAATTGTCTTTAATGTGGGATCATAAAATTTATATTCCCTGGATCTTTCAGCATAACCAATAAAATAAATACTTACTATTCGTGAGTCCAATTTCTTTTCATTTGGCTTATAAGGCCTTGCCTCAGCTAGACAACCCCACACATGGAAATGCTTCAAACTAGGCTGTCGCCCAGTCCAAAGCTCATAAGGTGTTTTGGTCGCTGCTTTAGCTTGGTACTGCTTCGTAATATAAGCCGTCGTCTTTAGTGCCTCTCCCCAAAGTGACTCCGGTAAGGTGGAATGACAAATCATACTCCCGACCATATCTTTAAGAGTTCGATTTCGTCTTTTAGCTACACCATTCATGCTAGGTGATCCCGACATGGTATATTGTGGGACAATTCCACACTCCTCTAGGTACCTGGCAAAAGGTCATGGACGTTGTTCACCTGACCCGTCAAATCTGTCATAGTACTCACCACCACGATCAGATCTGACAGACTTAATTCTTTTATTGAGTTAATTTTCAACTTCAGCTTTAAATGTTTTGAACACGTCTAGAGATTGTGACTTTTCATGTATAAGGAATAAGTATGCATATCGTGAGTAATCGTCTATGAATGATATAAAGTATTGTTGATCATTCCACGAAGGTGTAGGAAATGGCCCACAAATGTCCGTATGTATCAACTCTAAGACGTCTGTAGCTCTATATGCACCTAATCTCTTCGCTTTGGTCTGTTTGCCCTTAATGCATTCAACACAAGCATCAAAGTTTGTGAAGTCAATGGACTCTAAGATTCTATTTAACACAAGTCGTTCAACTCTATTTTTAGAGATGTGACCTAAGCGCCTGTGTCATAATGCTCCTGAGTGAGTATCATCAATTTTACGTTTAGTACCCCGTGATTCTGTATTAAGGGTTTCATTATAGGTGGTCACATTATCAAATAAATACAGATTATCATAAGGCAAAAGTGAACCAGTTCCAATAATATTTGAATTAAAAGACAAACTGAACTTATTGTTTCCAAATGAACACAAATAATCTAATTTGTCCAGATAAGAAACTGAAACCAAATTCCGTCTAAATGATGACACAACAAAAGTGTCTTTCAAATCCAAATAAAAATCAGTACTCAATAACCATTTAAAATGCCCTATGGCTTCCACCTCTACCGATTTGCCATCTCCAACATATATCCATCTTTCAGAATCAATTGGCTTTTTCGGTAACTTAAGCAACCCTTCATAGAAACACTGATGTTAGTAGTTGCACCTGAGTCTAACCACCAAGTGTTACTAGGTATCGACGCTAAATTGACTTCGAACGCACTCAAAATAGAAAACATATTTTTGAGGATCTGAACATAATTTAAATTGGCGGATACGTGAAACAATTGTAGCTAATTAAAAACAAGAGAAATAAATTAATTATGCTCACATTATAAAAATAAATAATTATAAATAAAATATATATTCAAATAATGGTTTAACCCATCTCAAGACACCCAATGCACCATCAATATCAAGTCTTTGGATAAGTAATATTAACTACTAGAGATATCTTGTTGTAATAATCAAACATTGATAATAAAGCACGTCCAACAACAAATCAGTCTTTGGATTGATTTATCATCGACAAAGCAAATATTTATAATTATCACATGTTTATCATTACAAATGTATATGCAATTCGGCCAAATATTAATCTTCCTTTGGGCCGACTAATACTCGCATGAATATACATAAACACTAACATTTAATATTTTTCACGAACTACCCAATTCAAGAGATGTTACTTTGGTAACTTCTTGACTCAATTTTCTCACAAAAATATTAAACTACCAAACAAATTAATATTTTATTTATCTAATAAAATCAAATATATATATTCCTCTAGGTTAGCAAAGAACTCATCCGACCATCCATCAATTGTGTTCTTCACTATTTGGACAGGCATATCAACAGGGTAGAGCAACAAACAGTCATCTCCTTGAGAACTCGTGAACTCTCTCCTTACAACACACTCTAAGGGAAGGTTATTAGCCGGATCAACTAGAGTGGTGAGTCGGTCTCTCGAAGCGGTGAGAACTTTGCCGCGTTCATCGACGACGAATCCCGCTGGTGGTTTGGGAAGTGACGTCGGAAGAGGAGGCAGTGGAGAAAGATTGTAAACGGAGTTGGAATCAGCAGTTACAGCTTTGCTCTTACTATCCTTTTTCTTTTTCATTTTAACAATTTTCCAGCTTAATTATTCCCAGAATAGAGAAACGAATCAGTCACACACCATTCACTATTTTATAAGCATCAGCACCAGTGAAACACATGGGTTTGGGTATGGGCATCAACACCTCACGATTCACTGCGAAGATAGGGCATGGCGGCCAATGAGGTCATGCCACACGATTCGCGAGGAGTGGTATTGACCCATGCGGCTCATGGGAACGATGTCGCCGGGTCTGTAAGAGACAGCGATCGAAAGAAACGAAGGCAGCAGAAGGAAAAACGATAGTGGTAGAAGCGGTTTCACGGTAGTTGCAGCCATGACTACCAACTTTAACAAAATTTCAGCGACTCAGGTTTCGCACTCTAATTCACGTTGTCGTATTAGCATTACGCTCTCCTCACTACCGTTCCCAAACGCAGCCGCTTACGGTTGCTAAACGCGGTTCGCTCGCCGCTACTGCCAGCATGGCGATTCGTGACGACGCGGGCCAAGGGGTCTCGCTCGATTTGGGAATTTGGGAATTTACCCCAAATTCGAAACTAGGTTTTAAAATTGGGGATTTTACCCCAAATTTGAATGTAGGGTTCATAAAATTTGAATATTATTCTCCAACTAGGGTTATTAATTAGCCAGAATCTGAATTTTGTTAAATGTAATTTCCAAAGACAAACATGAATTAAGTATGGGTTGCTCTGATACCAATTGTTAGGTAAACTGATAATTAAGTATGATCTTTAATCTAACGATCAAATATAAAATAATCTCATACTGTAAACATGTTATAAACTAAATGCGAAAGCGTACCTGAATTAGTCATAATAATGATGTCCCTTTTAGAGCACTATTGATCTTATTGTCTTCCACTGAAGAAGCACTGTATTTCCCTATTAATTTTCTCTCTGATGGGGATAGAAAGAAAAGAACCGGATCAGAATCGCTGCGTTCACTACGTGCTCCAGAAGGGATCATGACCCTTAAAATAACCAAAATTAGGTTCATTACTTAAGTTTTAAGTATTTCCAATTTGGCCTCTCATCAAATTAGAAATTGTTTCATGGTCTTTACACAATTTTATTTTCATGACATATGTCTTTAGCCAAACCTTTTTAATTTAGTCAGATCACTTTATTATTTGGCTTAATAAATAATGACCCTAACACATTTAAATATGTATCATATATATACATGATCCAAATTTTGCTAACAGACAAATCTTTTTAAATAAAAACATGTTTAAAGTATATGAATAATAATATTAAAAAATAAATAAAAATACGTTAGTCACGTGTTTTAAAACCATTGTCACGCTAACATGTCTATGCACCCTTTATTAAATATGTGAAATTTTTTTTTTATTTCTCTTAAATTTATATATTTGGATTTATTATTATTTTATAATAAAAAGTGTATAAATACATTACTTTACTTGAAAAAAAAATACTTCAACTAATTTAGATCCGCCAGTATTTTTCAAAATTACCCACTTTTTGTTCAGACATAGTTAAAATAAATAAATCGAATAAATTTGTTAAATTTGATTAAAAAAATCAAAGCACACAAATAGCAAATGGTTAATTAATTGTGCCATTGTTTTATTAATAAAAGTAGCCTACAAACTCAAATGATTGAAAAGATAACTTTGTGTATATTTGATGAATTATTTATGGCGTGGCATTTGACATTTCATACAATCATTAGTTTAAATAATAATGATAATACAAACCAAGTTGATGTGTTTGGGACACCAATTTGATTGCAAAAGGACAGATACTTGAAAATGATTACTTGTCTTTCTGAAAAAGAAAACCTTTTACCTGTTTTGTTTTATATACCCACTGAAAATTTTCATTTTTTTAAATGAAATATATCCACTTTTAATATAAGTATATAAAATTTTGTTTTAATCAAAAAAATGATGAAGTTTGATGCCGAGTTACAATTACCTAACTCTAAACCCTAATTTATTTGGATCACAAATCCAGTTAACAAAACACATCATTAACAAGTCGGCGAGCAAATTGCTAACAAAACTAAATTTGATCATCACAATCACTTCCAACCAACCATCTTCAACTTGGTCACAAGTTCTGAAAACACACCAAAAATAAAGTTACTTGACTTTATTGAACGAGTTTTCTTGAGCACTAAAATATCAAATTGTATTTGGCAAACTCTAGATTAATTACGATATGATTTGGGTTAGTAAATATTTACAAATGTTTTATTAATTTTTTTTATGCAGATTAATATATAATTATAATTTTAAATTATATAATAATTGCTTCAAAAATAAAACAATGAGTGGCTTACAAACAACTTATAAATATTTTATTTTATCTAATTTTTTGTCTACATAGAATTCTGTCAAACAATTTTAAAAAAATATCTAAAAAAAAAAAAACTTATTTTCTCGTACATGACATCTTACCTGAAATGCCCCTTCGCTGCTTCAAGAGTATAGAGGTATTGATTAATTTTAATTAATATATATTTCAGATTCTTTTTTGAAAAATTATTATATGCAACTTTATAAGTGTAGAAATCTCTAAAATATGATTTTCTTATTAAAAGTACCGTTACTTTAATATTCTGTTACACAAATCTGGAATTTTAAATATTTTTATCAACTTTTTAAAGTTCAAATTTAAGTGTTGTAGCCTAGGGTGATATGTATATATTTTCTAATTACACATCATTATTTTAAATATAACAACTTGTGCAATAAATAAAACTTTGTAATTATCTTTAGGTTTTAATGTATTTTGGTCAGCATAGTCTACTATTAAAGTGATTTATATTTCTTAATTTTTTGTTTGCATTTTTTCAAATTGTAATTTAAGTTTAACCATATTAATGTAGATAAAGTCATAACATTATTTAATACATTTGACATAAGTGTTGTGAATTTTTAAGAGAAATTTTAATCACAAATATTGTGAAGTTTACCTTTTTGTAGATAACAAATTTAAAATTTTGATGACAGAAAATTAATGCATGGTGTCTTCAAGTATTTCTTATGGACTTGGAACTTTGTTGTTAGCATATGGCAATTTTGTTTAGAAAATACATTTTGGACTTTTGATCAAAGTTGTTGGGCTTCCAAAATGTGTCAACCCGGCTTATTCAGAACGTATTTTGGTTGGATTTGTCTTCTTTCACCCTGTAAAAATTAACTCCCACTCCTTTTGTCATTTTATAAGAAAAAAAAAGTACACTTTTTTTTATTATTATAAATATAAGCAATTTTTACATTATTTGATAATATTTTTCTTAAAACAATTTAACTTTAATTAATGTCCAAAAGACTAAAATGAAAAAAACGAAGTTTTTGTATAATTTCCATCAAGCGCAGATTTGCAATTTTTTAACCAAACAAACATAATCTTCCGATTTTGTTACCAGTAAAATAAAAATAATTTTTTTTTAAACAAAGTTTATCAATAAACAATGTATCACGCATATATTAATTAAAAATAATGTGTTATAGATGATAAATATCTATTAAAGGATATAAATGGTTTACGTATATATACAAAATATTTTTTTAATATATTATACACATAATTAAATTAATTTCATTTTATTTAAATTTAAAAACAATATTATCAATGTACGAAACTCATTAATTATTGATCTTATATCTCATTAGAAAATAGAAATAATAATAATAATTTATGTCAGTCCACTATTATTTTTTAAATACTATAGAAAAGGATGTAACCAAGGAGTAAAAATCTTATCTCATAACTTATTATCATATATGTTATATTTTACAAAAGGTAGCGGAAGAATTGAAATCAATTCAAAGACAGTATCAAACAATTCAACAAAAGGCGGTCGACAAACTACAGTTGATCAAGAAACAATACCAGATTGAGTTCTAGACACTACATAAAAAAATGAAAATACTATTTTAAAGATCACAGACGACCAGGTTGAATGCACACAAAGAAGAAATCATAACATCAGACTAACTTCGTACTGAATAATCCCTAGCTCCAACCAATAAAACATGTTCGAAAGTCGAAAGTTTGAAACAAGCTAAAAGCCCAGTTCAAAGGTCAAAAATTTCACCAAGTCCGAGCGACAAAATGTCAAGCTCAAAGAGAGCAGATCACTTGAGGGAACACGAAAGGCACAAACACACTAAGGAGTTAACAACTCGACTCTCCCCTTCGAAAGAGCCTACCGTACAAGCTCCGCTCCATGTTCAAGCTGCTCTCCTTCGAAAGGAACTATCGTACAAGCTTCGATCCATGTTCAAGGCGCATGTACTCAAAGAAATGAAATCCAAGAAGGACACAATTCATCTCGACCACTCTCACCTAATTGGGAGCCTCTGTACATGCAAAAATATGATGGGACCATGAATTACTCAAAGAAATGAAATCCAAGAAGAAGACAATTCATCCTGAGAATCATGGAAATGCCCCTCCCACCTAATTGGGAGCCTCTGGACATAGAAAAATATGACGGGATGACGGATCTCGAAAAGCACTGAGCAATATACAAGACCCCGGTCAAATTGTACACCAACAGCGGTGCCATTCTTGGTCGAGTTTCTCCTACCACGTTGAGAGGGTCAATCTTATGATGGTATAATTATTTACCATAAAACTCCATAGATTTGTATTATACGTTGGTAGAATGATTCCGAGTAAGGTACTCTCCATCTGACCCCTCAAAGAGCTTACTACATTATCCTGACGATACTCTTCGCTTTTTATTGTTTTAATAGCAAGCTCCACTTAAGTTTAAATATCGGGCAGAACATTTATTGTCTTCTTCTGAGAAAGAAGATATCAATTTAATAAAACGACTTCCTCGTTCTATAACTGTAGAACCTTAATAAATGTTTCTTTGGGCAATGATCAACTTTCTATGTTTGCAAGTAGCTCATGGGTTCGTTTTTCTATTTGTTTTTTCTAACTTGTATTTTTTGCAAAGGTCATGAGACCCAAGTTTGATTATAAAAAGAAGAGGGAAGAATGCCTCTGTTAGTCCTTGGCTAGGCCAACCGAGGGCGTCCAAGCATCAACAAGTTGTGCGATCATCTTCCCCTACTCTCTCTTAGCCTGACTACATGGACTTGGAGAACATTCCTGTTGAACAACCACC